GTCTCTGTGTGTGTCTCTCTCTTTATGTCTCTCTCTCTCTCTTTATCGGGTCCATTGTGAAGCTTCCCATCGTATGTAATCACAGACTGTTCCTACGTCAGTTTTTTAGTTTAGCTTGAATAAATGCTCTCAGCCTGGTGCGCTCACACACACATACAAACACACTCATATGCACGCACACTCACACACCCACACACATGCATATACACATGCACGCACATACACGCACACAGATACACACACACAGATACACACAGACACAATCACAGACACACTCACTGATACACACACAGACACACACAGAGACACGTACACAGACACACTCATAAGCACAAATATGCACACACACATACACATACATACACACACAAACACATACTGAAACACACAGATTCACACACGCATACAGACACACACAGATACCCACAGACACACACGCACAGATACACACAGACACAATTGAACGCTCAGGCCCCCAACCCCACCTTCTTTTACAGACACTGGGGTGGGGGAGGGGGGGGGGCCTTTGAAGCGCCTAAGCCTCTATCAAGTGTTAAAGAACAGTGGGCTGGATGACAAATCTTCTTCTTCTTATTATTCCTCTTCTTCGTCGTCGTGGTCTTGGCGAAGACCGGCGATAAACTCTGAGGGAAATTATGGTTGTTCATCCACTCCTGGATTTTGTTTTTGATCCAGAACTTGAGTTTTGCTTGCACAACCGTTTGACAGTGCTGACTTGCTCCTATGCATAGCCTAGGTTCCTTGCCTCTCAGGCAATGCACTCCGACTTTGAAGTAAAGACTACCAGTTAGTAGCCTCTTGTGACATGCTAATTAGTAGGGCAGTGCTTCTATTCCTTGTTCTCCAACACGAAGCCTCGGAGCCCACACGGAGAGGAGGACAAATAAATATAATATGGACCTGTTCACGTTTCCCGGCCCATCTACACACTTTCTCAGACTGATCTATGTTATAGGGGTGTCACGCTGTACTGCTTTTTCCGAAGAGTTTCTAGTGTGACCTAGGCTGAGACTGTAGGTAGAGGGTTTTAGGTTGAGACCCGTTCTACAGGTTCTGGGGTCTTGAAAGCTGTGCTGTTGTGTAATATAGAACACGCGACATCAGCACTGGTGTAGCTGGAGGGAAGACCACGTGACACCCCTCCGACGTAGTAGAGTCTGAGAAAGTATGAATGAAAGGTCAGCCAGTGTGTCGATGGGCCGGGAAACGTGAACTGGACCTATAATAGTATATGTATCAAATATCTTCAGTAAACTTCTACATAGATATGAGGCAGGAACGTTAGGTTTCCCACCCTTTCCTTTTTTTTTTTAAATGGGACCAAGCCCCCTTCTGTCCTAAAAAAAAACGGGGGAGTGGGACCTCAATGGTTTTAAACCGGTGGGTCTCTTAGCATGATTCATGAAAACTATCGCGAACAGTCATGGATACATGTTTACACAGATGGATCAGCAACCAGTGAGGTTAAAAATGGGGGTGCTGGAGTCTTTATTACATACCCAGGCAACCACCGCCACACAAAGTGGATACCCACTGGTAAATTTTGTTCCAACTACACAGCAGAGATTGTAGCACTAAAGCAGGCTGCCGAAATGTTACACAACACTTGTTCTGACTGCCACCAAGTGGTTATATTCACAGATGCGCTTTCAGTGCTTCAAGCCCTCAAGAGTGGCAAACTCCCTCACTTGAGATCTGAACTTGGCAAGGTGGCTGCCCAAAAGTGTACTGTACTCCAATGGGTGCCATCCCACTGTGGTTTACCAGGAAACGAAACTGCAGATAAACTTGCTAACAAAGGGGCAGAATGTGACCAGGAAGAGAATGCAGTAACATACTATGAGAAGAAAAGGGCCATCCACTAACAGACTAACAGAGTCTGGCCAGAGATGACTACCACTTACTTGACAGGCATGGGCAGGTCATTGTCCTTCGTCTCAGGACAGGATATAACAAACTTAACCAGCATATGCACAGGCTTCGTCTAAGTAGTTCACCTTTGTGCCCTTGTGGGCTATGTGTGCAGAATACAGAACATGTCCTGCAAGACTGTCCCTTGTTCAGCCCATTAAGAAGGGAATACTGGCCCAGTGAATCATCACTGTACACAAAGTTGTATGGGACTAAATATGAACTCATAAAAACAGTCAAGTTTATCACAAGAACCTGTCTGTCGGTGTAAATCAGAAAGCGAACACAAGAAGAAGAAGAAGAAGAAAAACCGGTGGGTTCTGGTTCCCCTATTCTTATCCTACCTATCACACTGTAATACATGTTGGCTTCATGCATTTTTCCCCTCACCCAAACTATAACACTGTCATACATGTTGGCTTCATGCATTTTTTCCCTCACCGAAACTATGACACTGTCACACATGTTGGCTTCATGCATTTTTCCCCTCACCCAAACTATGACACTGTCACACATGTTGGCTTCATGCATTTTTCCCCTCACCCAAACTATGACACTGTCACACATGTTGGCTTCATGCATTTTTCCCCTCACCGAAACTATGACACTGTCACACATGTTGGCTTCATGCATTTTTCCCCTCACCGAAACTATGACACTGTCACACATGTTGGCTTCATGCATTTTTCCCCTCACCGAAACTATGACACTGTCACACATGTTGGCTTCATGCATTTTTCCCCTCACCGAAACTATGACACTGTCACACATGTTGGCTTCATGCATTTTTCCCCTCACCCAAACTATAACACTGTCATACATGTTGGCTTCATGCATTTTTCCCCTCACCGAAACTATGACACTGTCACACATGTTGGCTTCATGCATTTTTCCCCTCACCCAAACTATGACACTGTCACACGTGTTGGCTTCATGCATTTTTTCCCTCACCCAAACTATGACACTGTCACACGTGTTGGCTTCATGCATTTTTTCCCTCACCCAAACTATGACACTGTCACACATGTTGGCTTCATGCATTTTTTCCCTCACCCAAACTATGACACTGTCACACATGTTGGCTTCATGCATTTTTCCCCTCACCGAAACTATGACACTGTCACACATGTTGGCTTCATGCATTTTTTCCCTCACCGAAACTATGACACTGTCACACATGTTGGCTTCATGCATTTTTCCCCTCACCCAAACTATGACACTGTCACACATGTTGGCTTCATGCATTTTTCCCCTCACCGAAACTATGACACTGTCACACATGTTGGCTTCATGCATTTTTCCCCTCACCGAAACTATGACACTGTCACACATGTTGGCTTCATGCATTTTTCCCCTCACCGAAACTATGACACTGTCACACATGTTGGCTTCATGCATTTTTCCCCTCACCCAAACTATGACACTGTCACACATGTTGGCTTCATGCATTTTTCCCCTCACCGAAACTATGACACTGTCACACATGTTGGCTTCATGCATTTTCCCCTCACCGAAACTATGACACTGTCACACATGTTGGCTTCATGCATTTTTTCCCTCACTCAAACTATGACACTGTCACACATGTTGGCTTCATGCATTTTTTCCCTCACCCAAACTATGACACTGTCACACGTGTTGGCTTCATGCATTTTTTCCCTCACCCAAACTATGACACTGTCACACGTGTTGGCTTCATGCATTTTTTCCCTCACCCAAACTATGACACTGTCACACATGTTGGCTTCATGCATTTTTCCCCTCACCGAAACTATGACACTGTCACACATGTTGGCTTCATGCATTTTTCCCCTCACCGAAACTATGACACTGTCACACATGTTGGCTTCATGCATTTTTCCCCTCACCGAAACTATGACACTGTCACACGTGTTGGCTTCATGCATTTTTCCCCTCACCCAAACTATGACACTGTCACACGTGTTGGCTTCATGCATTTTTCCCCTCACCCAAACTATGACACTGTCACACATGTTGGCTTCATGCATTTTTCCCCTCACCGAAACTATGACACTGTCACACATGTTGGCTTCATGCATTTTTCCCCTCACCGAAACTATGACACTGTCACACATGTTGGCTTCATGCATTTTTTCCCTCACTCAAACTATGACACTGTCACACATGTTGGCTTCATGCATTTTTTCCCTCACCCAAACTATGACACTGTCACACGTGTTGGCTTCATGCATTTTTTCCCTCACCCAAACTATGACACTGTCACACGTGTTGGCTTCATGCATTTTTTCCCTCACCCAAACTATGACACTGTCACACATGTTGGCTTCATGCATTTTTCCCCTCACCGAAACTATGACACTGTCACACATGTTGGCTTCATGCATTTTTCCCCTCACCGAAACTATGACACTGTCACACATGTTGGCTTCATGCATTTTTCCCCTCACCGAAACTATGACACTGTCACACGTGTTGGCTTCATGCATTTTTTCCCTCACCCAAACTATGACACTGTCACACGTGTTGGCTTCATGCATTTTTTCCCTCACCCAAACTATGACACTGTCACACATGTTGGCTTCATGCATTTTTCCCCTCACCGAAACTATGACACTGTCACACATGTTGGCTTCATGCATTTTTCCCCTCACCGAAACTATGACACTGTCACACATGTTGGCTTCATGCATTTTTCCCCTCACCCAAACTATGACACTGTCACACATGTTGGCTTCATGCATTTTTCCCCTCACCGAAACTATGACACTGTCACACATGTTGGCTTCATGCATTTTTCCCCTCACCGAAACTATGACACTGTCACACATGTTGGCTTCATGCATTTTTTCCCTCACTCAAACTATGACACTGTCACACATGTTGGCTTTATGCATTTTTCCCCTCACCAAAACTATGACACTGTCACACACACACACTGGTTACATTTGTTCCCTGCTAGCTTACAATCATCTTCAACATCATAATTTACCATGACAGTTATGTCAGCGGTAACGGCTGACCGTCCCACACAGGTCCTCACCAATTCTTACACAATGTCTACGGTCCGTCTACGGCAGGGGCTTCAGTTAAAGATTGAGCCTCTGTCTGATGTGCCTGCCCACCAGCACGATGGCGTTGTTCTGAAAAGCTTGCAGGTTGTCCCTGGACTCGGTGGGCAGTTCCGCCTGAAGCCGGTCAACGATGACCGAACACACGACAGCAGCTGTGGGAGACACCATTACAGGTGGGTCAGTCGGTATTGTGTATCGTTAGTGGTAAGTAGAGTAAAATGCCAGTTGAGAGAGACAAGAGCAGACCCACTGCCTCCCAGGCTAGCATGTCGTAAGAGTCGACTAACTGGGGGCTTCCTCCGAAGTCGGAGTGCATCTGCCTGAGAGAAAAGAAACCAAAAGCCTGCGTCCAAATAAGCTAGATCTGTAAAAGAATGTGCATAAAACAATCATGTTCTGGAACAAGACTCCAGAGGGGGCGGATTCTTTATTGTTTTTTATTTAAATATCCAGAAGCCATGAGTTCTTAACCCTTTGGCTCATTACTACAAGGAGTTCGTCGTCTGGTCGCCGCGCAGTCCGGTTTAGCCAACTACGCTAACGAGCCGGGTAGAGGCGGCCGATAAAATAAGTGTTGGGTTAGACAACTGAGTAAAATAACAGTTGAGGGAGATATCATTAGTAGTGGGTTAAAGTGAGTAAAAAAACAGTCGAGGGAGATACCATTGGTGGTGGGTTAGACAAGTGAGTAAAATAACAGTTGAGGGAGATATCATTAGTGGTGGGTTAGACAAATGAGTAAAATAACAGTTGAGGGAGATACCATTGGTGGTGGGTTAGACAAGTGAGTAAAATAACAGTTGAGGGAGATATCATTAGTGGTGGGTTAGACAAGTGAGTAAAATAACTGTTGATGGAGATATCATTAGTGGTGGGATAGACAAGTGAGTAAAATATCAGTTGAGGGAGATATCATTAGTGTTGGGTTAGACAAGTGAGTAAAATAACTGTTGATGGAGATATCATTAGTGGTGGGTTAGACAAGTGAGCAAAATAACTGTTGAGTGAGATATCATTAGTGTTGAGTTAGACAAGTGAGTAAAATGACTGTTGAGTGAGATATCATTAGTGTTGAGTTAGACAAATGAGTAAAATAACTGTTGAGCTAGATACCATTAGTGTTGGGTTAGACAAGTGAGTAAAATAACAGTTGAGGGAGATATCATTAGTGTTGGGATAGACAAGTGAGTAAAATAACTGTTGATGGAGATATCATTAGTGGTGGGTTAGACAAGTGAGTAAAATAACTGTTGATGGAGATATCATTAGTGTTGGGTTAGACAAGTGAGCAAAATAACTGTTGATGGAGATATCATTAGTGTTGGGTTAGACAAGTGAGTAAAATAACTGTTGAGTTAGATATCATTAGTGTTGGGCTAGACAAGTGAGTAAAATAACTGTTGATGGAGATATCATTAGTGTTGGGCTAGACAAGTGAGTAAAATAACAGTTGAGTTAGATATCATTAGTGTTGGGTTAGACAAGTGAGTAAAATAACAGTTAAGGGAGATATCATTAGTGTTGGGTTAGAGACGTGAGTAAAATAACTGTTGAGTTAGATATCATTAGTGTTGGGCTAGACAAGTGAGTAAAATAACTGTTGATGGAGATATCATTAGTGTTGGGTTAGACAGGTGAGTAAAATAACAGTTAAGGGAGATACCATTAGTGGTGGGTTAGACAAGTGAGTAAAATAACTGTTGATGGAGATATCATTAGTGTTGGGTTAGACAAGTGAGTAAAATAACAGTTAAGGGAGATATCATTAGTGTTGGGTTAGACAAGTGAGTAAAATAACTGTTGAGGGAGATATCATTAGTAGTGGGTTAGACAAGTGAGTAAAATAACTGTTGATGGAGATACCATTAGTGGTGGGTTAGACAAGTGAGTAAAATAACTGTTGAGTGAGATATCATTAGTGGTTGGTTAGACAAGTGAGTAAAATAACAGTTTTAAGGGAGATATCATTAGTGGTGGGTTAGACCAGTGAGCAAAATAACAGTTAAGGGAGATACCATTAGTGGTGGGTTAGACAAGTGAGTAAAATAACTGTTGAGCGAGATATCATTAGTGTTGAGTTAGACAAGTGAGTAAAATAACAGTTGAGGGAGATACCATTAGTGTTGGGCTAGACAAGTGAGTAAAATAACAGTTGAGGGAGATATCATTAGTGGTGGGTTAGACAAGTGAGTAAAATAACAGTTGAGGGAGATATCATTAGTGGTGGGTTAGACAAGTGAGTAAAATAACAGTTTTAAGGGAGATACCATTAGTGGTGGGTTAGACAAGTGAGTAAAATAACAGTTGAGAGAGTTATCATTAGTGGTGGGTTAGACAAGTGAGTAAAATAACAGTTTTAAGGGAGATACCATTAGTGGTGGGTTAGACAAGTGAGCAAAATAACAGTTAAGGGAGATATCATTAGTGGTGGGTTAGACCAGTGAGTAAAATAACAGCTGACGTAGATATCATTAGTGTTGGGCTAGACAAGTGAGCAAAATAACTGTTGATGGAGATATCATTAGTGTTGGGTTAGACAAGTGAGCAAAATAACTGTTGATGGAGATATCATTAGTGGTGGGTTAGACAAGTGAGTAAAATAACTGTTGAGTTAGATATCATTAGTGTTGGGCTAGACAAGTGAGTAAAATAACAGTTAAGGGAGATATCATTAGTGTTGGGTTAGACAAGTGAGTAAAATAACTGTTGAGTTAGATATCATTAGTGTTGGGCTAGACAAGTGAGTAAAATAACTGTTGATGGAGATATCATTAGTGTTGGGCTAGACAAGTGAGTAAAATAACAGTTGAGTTAGATATCATTAGTGGTGGGTTAGACAAGTGTGTAAAATAACAGTTAAGGGAGATATCATTAGTGTTGGGTTAGACACGTGAGTAAAATAACTGTTGAGTTAGATATCATTAATGTTGGGCTAGACAAGTGAGTAAAATAACTGTTGATGGAGATATCATTAGTGTTGGGTTAGACAGGTGAGTAAAATAACAGTTAAGGGAGATACCATTAGTGGTGGGTTAGACAAGTGAGTAAAATAACTGTTGATGGAGATATCATTAGTGTTGGGTTAGACAAGTGAGTAAAATAACAGTTAAGGGAGATATCATTAGTGTTGGGTTAGACAAGTGAGTAAAATAACTGTTGAGGGAGATATCATTAGTAGTGGGTTAGACAAGTGAGTAAAATAACTGTTGATGGAGATACCATTAGTGGTGGGTTAGACAAGTGAGTAAAATAACTGTTGAGTGAGATATCATTAGTGGTTGGTTAGACAAGTGAGTAAAATAACAGTTTTAAGGGAGATATCATTAGTGGTGGGTTAGACCAGTGAGCAAAATAACAGTTAAGGGAGATACCATTAGTGGTGGGTTAGACAAGTGAGTAAAATAACTGTTGAGCGAGATATCATTAGTGTTGAGTTAGACAAGTGAGTAAAATAACTGTTGATGGAGATATCATTAGTGTTGGGTTAGACAAGTGAGTAAAATAACTGTTGATGGAGATATCATTAGTGGTGGGTTAGACAAGTGAGCAAAATAACTGTTGATGGAGATATCATTAGTGGTGGGTTAGACAAGTGAGTAAAATAACAGTTTTAAGGGAGATACCATTAGTGGTGGGTTAGACAAGTGAGTAAAATAACTGTTGAGTGAGATATCATTAGTGGTGGGTTAGACAAGTGAGTAAAATAACAGTTTTAAGAGAGATATCATTAGTGGTGGGTTAGACCAGTGAGCAAAATAACAGTTAAGGGAGATATCATTAGTGGTGGGTTAGACCAGTGAGTAAAATAACAGCTGACGTAGATATCATTAGTGTTGGGCTAGACAAGTGAGTAAAATAACAGTTAAGGGAGATACCATTGGTGGTGGGTTAGACAAGTGAGTGAAATAACAGTTGAGGGTGATATCATTAGTGTTGGATTAGACAAGTGAGTAAAATAACAGTTGAGGGAGATATCATTAGTGGTGGGTTAGACAAGTGAGTTAAAAAAACAGTTAAGGGAGATATCATTAGTGGTGGGTTAGACAAGTGAGCAAAATAACAATTGAGGGAGATATCATTATTGGTGGGTTAGACAAGTGAGCAAAATATCAGTTGAGGGAGATACTATTAGTGGTGGGTTAGAAAACGCCAGCATATACGGTTGTAATAGTATAAATTATCGTGAGATAGATTGTATTGTGAAACATTTAAATGGGGTCGCGTTAGCGCAATGGATAGGAGACTTGTTTTCAAATCCAGCTGCGACTCGCTGCAGCCCACGGCCGGTGTTCGAAACCGGAAGGTTCTGGGGTTCACCCAGCCTCTAGAAAATGGGTACGAGAATTAACACTCTGGGATAAATAGAGGAACGTCGCTGTAGCTACTGAGTTACGTGCGGACGGCGACACAGGTGGACAGTTTCTTATCAACTGTCCGTACTGGTGGCAGAGCACTTATTGTTTATAAATTTGTGCAGTGACGTTCTTTCACATGTCCTGATTTTGCCTTTGACATTTAGATATTACAATTTACATGTATCCGTATCTCTTAAAAGAGGTTAGTTTGACCTAGGAATCACTGTGTCGCGAAATTATTAAATTATGTCTGTCTAAAAAGTGTTTCATCAACCTAACGGTTTGAAAACCTCTGCAGTAAGTAACTGTAACGTACCGTCAGCGCTGAACTCTAGCCAGGTACTGGAAGTCTAAATCATAGTCTTAAACATAGAGACGTATAAACATCGTGTGTATAATCAGTGTTCTACGGGAATAATTAGCATCTACTTTTTAAGATAGTTACAGCAAATGGAAAGAGAATACCAGAGACAGAGATGAGTGGACGCTGGTAATATCTACAGCAATGAACCTCAGGGTAAACAGGACAAACTACCTCTGATTCCCACTTTGTGCGCCATTGCTAGAACTGCGGCCGACTCCATCTCAATGTTGCGCACTTCAAGGTCGTAAAGTTTCCTCAAAAACGCATCCTGGTCTGCTTTACTGTAGTCGCAAAATGATCCGTCTAGTCGACCTTGGCCTGTGGCGTTGGATTTAATATTGATATACATTTACAAATATGCAAAGCTCATTAATTATTATCTTACTTGCGTCGAACAGTTCAGCACACAACCAAGGGTAGTACCTGGTGCAGGTGTTGAGGAGAAGCCTCAACTTTAACTCCCTATGAAGTTGAACCAGGTGTCTGGAATTTGCCCTGTTGGATTCCCTTCCAGGATGAGACACTTTAATTCACAGGCAGGGTCAAGTTGAAACTGACCCAAATGCTCAAGCTTCAAAAGTGTTATTTTGTGATGAAAAAATGACATCGGAGAAAATCTTGGCAAATGAAATGGTGCAATGTCGTAGAGCTGGATCGGGGATAATGTTAGAGTTGGATAGGGGAATAGTGTCTTAAAGGTGGATAGGGAATAGTGTCATAAAGATGGAAAGGGAATAGTGTCATACAGATGGATAGGGAATAGTGTCATAAAGATGGAAAGGGAACAGTGTCATAAAGATGGATAGGGAATAGTGTCATAAAGATGGATAGGGAATAGTGTTATAAAGGTGGATAGGGAATAGTGTCATAAAGATTGATAGGGAATAGTGTCATAAAGATGGATAGGGAATAGTGTCATAAAGATGGATAGGGAATAGTGACATAAAGATGGATAGGGAAGAGTGTCATAAAGATGGAGAGGGAATAGTGTCATAAAGGTGGATAGGGAATAGTGACATAAAAATGGATAGGGAATAGTGACATAAAGATGGATAGGGTATAGGTCATAAAGATGGATAGGAAATCATGTCATAAAGATGATAGGGAATAGTGCCATAAAAATGGAAAGGGAACAGTGTCATAAAGATGGATAGGGAATAGTGTCATAAAGATGGATAGGGAATAGTGTTATAAAGGTGGATAGGGAATAGTGTCATAAAGATTGATAGGGAATAGTGTCATAACGACGGAGAGGGAATAGTGTCATAAAGATGGATAGGGAATAGTGTCATAAAGATGGATAGGGAATAGTGACATAAAGATGGATAGGGAATAGTGTCATAAAGATGGAGAGGGAATAGTGTCATAAAGATGGATAGGGAATAGTGACATAAAAATGGATAGGGAATAGTGACATAAAGATGGATAGGGTATAGGTCATAAAGATGGATAGGAAATCATGTCATAAAGCTGGAAAGGGAATTGTGTCATAGAGTTGGATAGGGAATAGTGTCACTGAGGTGGATAGGAAATCATGTCATAAAGATGGATAGGGAATAGTGTCATAAAGATGGACAAAGAATAGGGTCATAAATATGGATAGGGAATAGTGTCGTAAAGATGGATAGGCAATAGTGTCATAAAGATGTATAGAGAATAGTTTTATAAAGATGGATAGGGAAAAATATTAAAGCTGGAAAGGAAATAATGCCATAGAGTTGGATAGGGAATAGTGTCATAAATATGGATAGGGAATAATGTCATAGAGTTGGAAAGGGAATAGTGTCACAAAGATGGATAGGAAATAGTGTCATAAAGATGGATAGGGAATAGTGCCATAAAGATGGATAAGGAATAGTGTCATAAAGATGGGTAGGGAATGGTGTCATAAAGATGGATAGGAAATTATTTCATAAAGATGAATAGGGAATAGTGTCATAAAGATGAATAGGGAATAGTGTCATAAAGATGGATAGGGAATAGTTTCATCGAGATGGTTATGAAATAATGTCATAAATATGGATAGGGAAACATATTATAGCTTGAAAGGGAATAATGTCATAGAGTTAGATAGGGAATAGTGTCACTGAGATTGATAGGAAATAGTGTCATAAAGATGGATAGGGAATAGTTTCATAAAGATGGATAGGAAATAATGTCATAAAAATGGATAGGGAAACATATTATAGCTGGAAAGGGAATAATGTCATAGAGTTAGATAGGGAATAGTGTCACTGAGGTGGATAGGAAATGGTGTCATAAATATGGATAGGGAATAGTGTTATAAAGATGGATAGGGAATAGTGTCACAAATATGGATAGGGAATAGTGTCATAAAGATGGACAGGGAATAGTGTCACTATGGTGGATAGGAAATAGTGTTACAATGCAAGCAGACTGTTACTGCTATCACCGTATATGAAATTCTGATTGGGACGGAGCACTTATGGAAATACCCCCTAGTGCTGTGAGTCGGTGCTTAAGCCATTACTCATATAAAGAAAATGTTAACGTCCCTAACAGTATTACCTTTATGAGTAAATTTAGACGTTTAAAGAAACATGTAAGTTGGAAAATGTCAAATATAGAGAGAAACCTTTACCTTGGTAGAAGTCCTCGGTACAGTAGGTTTTCCCCAGCACCACTTGGAAGCCGTCCTCGTCTCTCCGACAGCCCTGGAGGCTGTTGACGAGATTCATGTCCACACTGGTTGGCAGCTTCAGGGTTTTGCCCAGGGATGACTAGACCAGATATGAACAGGCAAATATCAATACAATATAGATCCATTTTCTATCTGCCTGTCTAATGATGAACGAATGAGTAACTGTGTGCAAGTGGTAGACTGGAAGAGCAGAATGTTAGACTGGGCTGTGTGCTCAATTCTTAACCCTTTGAAAATAAATGGTGCTCGTCCTTTCTGTCTGTCAGTCCGAATGTCTGGTATCTACCCATCTGCCTATCTATCAGTCCGTCTGTCAGTCTATGCGTTCATGCGTCTATCTTTCTGCTTATCTGACTGTCTGTCCATCCATATATCAATCCCTGTATGAGTTTTCTATTGGCATCTTTCCATGCGAAAGTGTTCCACTGAGCTATCTGGGAGGAGGTAAGAGAATCACAACTCATAGCCTTGACAAGTGTGAGTAGGGTCAGGGATGAAGCAACCAAAGCAGATAGATACCTAGGCATTATTGTAGAGACCATCTGTTTCTCGTGCAGCATATTACCTCACTCGGTCTGCCTTCTTCACGCCAGAGAAAAGGTAACAATAGTACGTTTAACAACAAAGCCTACCGCAGAAACCGAAATAAACAGACAAAAAGACGGAGATGCAATGTTTTTTGTTGTTTTTTTTTTTAACTAGCCTGTCAGTTCATAGAGTTTCTCACTAGGAGTGACTTTTATTGACTTACTTCAAAGGTTTCCAAACTGTTCATATAATTGAATAATTTAGCGACACAGTAATTCAGATGTTAAACCTCTTTTACAAGTTGCCGACACACACAGAAACTAATATCTGAATGTTTCTCAACACAACCTATATCTGTTAGTTGACAAAAACAACACAACCTATATCTGTTAGTTGACAAAAACAACACAACCTATATCTGTTAGTTGACAAAAACAACACAACCTATATCTGTTAGTTGACAAAAACAACACAACCTATATCTGTTAGTTGACAGGAAACCACCAGCCCCAGCACAAGATGACTTTTTTTATTATTGACAGATCAGAACAAGTCATTATCCCCTGCCTCAGAACAGGGCACAGCCGATTACGTAACCACATGTACATAAAATTCAAGATAGGTGTATCAGCCATGTGCACCTGTGGAAATGTGCCCCAGACCGCAGAGCATGTACTCCAGGACTGCACCGAATTTGACACATTAAGGCAAACCTTTTGGCCAGAAAGAACAACAGTGGAACGTAAACTCTACGGACCACTGAATGAACTAACAACAACAGTGAAATTTATACAAGAGACAAAATTGCTGATACAGACAACTTATTTCAAGCGAACGAAAGAAGAAGTTGACAAAATTGCAAGCATATATTTTGGCGTTGTCGCGGCGGCGTTAGGTCCTGATTATTATGTTTAACACTTTTCTTTTGAGTGGCACACCTTCCCACTACAGCCGATACATAAATGTGTGGCGAAAAAAGTTTGCAAAGCGCTGGTCTACTGTGATGTAAATACCTACCGTGGTGTAGAAGGGTTCAAATCCAGAGGTTAGGGCACCGGTGGATATTACTACTGTACCAGGGCTGATACCTGAACATAACACATAAGAGAGTAAGTGGCTGTTGCGTTGATGATAAACAGAATATAGAAGAGTGAAAGTGGCTGTTGCGTTGGTGATAAACATAATATAGAAGAGTGAAAGTGGCTGTTGCGTTGATGATAAACATAATATAGAAGAGTGAAAGTGGCTGTTGAGTTGGTGATAAACAGAATATAGAAGAGTGAAAGTGGCTGTTGCGTTGATGATAAACATAATATAGAAGAGTGAAAGTGGTTGTTGCGCTAGTGATAAACGGAATATAGAAGAGTGTAAGTGGTTGTTGCACTGGTGGTAAACATAATATAGAAGAGTGAAAGTGGTTGTTGCGCTAGTGGTAAACATAATATAGAAGAGTGTAAGTGGTTGTTGCGCTAGTGATAAACAGAATATAGAACAGTGTAAGTGGTTGTTGCGTTGGATTGTTGTAATGATAACGGTTTATGAAGACGATTATAATAACAGTGACAGCGACGTCAATAATGGATCGGAGAGTGTGTTACGGTGATAATGATTATAATGATGAGTAAAATGATAATGGGGATTGAGAAAATTGTGAAGGTGATGATAAGAATGGTGTTGGTCGTGACTTCCTTCTTGTGCTTTCCTTTTGTGATTTAGTAGTTAAAGGATAGCTTTATTGCGTCTCTCTGTCGTGAGGCTTTGACAATTTCTTCTTCTAAGCTGTAATCTCCGGCGGAAACTTGGTTGTTCGTCCATTTCTGCACTTTGGTTTTGTTACGGAACTCGAATTTTTGTGAGTGGTTTTTTTTTTTTTTTGTATGTGTGTGTGCACATCTGTTTTACATATCTGGCTTTTTATGTGCATACTACTGGTACCTGGCATCTCGGGCAGATGTACTGCGACTTCGAAGATTTTTAACAAGTCTCACTAATTACACCAGCAGACAGGAAACGATTCACGACAGGACTGTACAGTTTAACCCTTGTAGTTCTCACTAATTACACCAGCAGACAGGAAACGATTCACGACAGGACTGTACAGTTTAACCCTTGTAGTTCTCACTAATAACACCAGCAGACGAAACGATTCACGACAGGACTGTACAGTTTAACCCTTGTAGTTCTCACCAGCAGACACGAAACGATTCACGACAGGACTGTACAGTTTAACCCTTGTAGTTCTCGGTGTCATCCATCAGAAGCCACTTTTTTATTCTTACAAATTACAGTTGGTGGCACTCTAAATGTGTGTGTCGGTGTGGGTATCCTGGCTTGTCAACAGCTATATGACACTGTACATCGCTTTTTCTTCTTTTTCTTAGAATTCACAGGCTGTCGACGGTGAAACGTTCTGGTTGTTCGTCCACTTCTGGACTTTGACCTTGTTTCATAACTTGAGTGCTGTGTGCACATCCGTTTTACCTATCGTGCTTATTTCTACGCGAACTGCTGGTTCCTCCCCTTTTGAACTTCAGAGATAGCAGCATAATTAGTAGCCTTTTACGACATGCTTGTTAAGGGGCAGTGTGTCTATTTGTCCGTTCCCCCACCCCCCCCCCCCCCCCACAGAGTTCTGAAACATTGTCAATGTTTGGGCAAGTGTTAAGAAAGTCTTTTCAGGCACTCCAGCAGTGGTATCGGCTTTTAGAAACCATATATGTCACTTTTTGTATGCTTTCAAAAAAGACACCGCATATATATTTACACCTAAACTGCTGACATTTTTCATAATTCATGAAAACGAAAAAGAACTTCAAATCCACGTAAATGCGCTACACACAGTCTGCAACGAATATAACATGAAGATCAGCATCACCAAAACAGAAATTCTGAAAATAAGTAGAACACCTAATATACTAACTATTCAAGTTAACAACGAACAACTCAAACAAGTGCAGCAATTTAAATACTTGGGGAGCATCTTCACAGATGAAGGAAGAATTGATAGGGAACTTGAGGCAAGATGTCAAAAGGCGAACGCAGTAACTTACCAACTCTCCCCACTGCTAAAACACCCAAGCATCACTATGGCACTAAAACGACAACTGATAAATTGCATGTTTATACCAACCCTCTGCTACCAATGCCAAACCTGGTCCCTAACAAGAGCACAGGAGAAAAAGATCACGACTTGCGAAATGAGATGCTTACGTAAGGCTGCCAATGTCACAAGGAGAGACAGAGTTCGAAACGAGAACATTAGATCAATTGTAGGAACCACACCATGCCGGCTATACATAAAGAAGCAACAAATAGAGTGGTTTGGCCACTTGATGCGAATGCAAACCGACCAACTGCCTCTACGAGCATACAACGAACAACACTACTGCCCTAGAGCAAGAGGCAGACCGAGAGTACGATGGATAGACAATATATCAGAGATCCTGAGGCAACACGGACTAACAACAACACGTGCAACACACCTGGCCCAGGATAGAAAACTGCGACTCCCCACTACGCTGTGAGGCAATTGTGGACAAGACAAGACAAGACAAGACTGCTGACATTCAGGAACCACTTTTTCGCATGCTACCAGCCTATTTATGCATTAACTGTTTATGCACACTCTCAGAAACCATCGATTGATACACATTGTGTAAGCATTCAAACCTTTATTTTACACAGCTCGTCTGCTAGTACACCTGCTCATAATCACGTTTGGTACAAGCTCATTTTTATGAACTAACTTTGGAATATCTCGTCGTTTTGGATCGATCTAAAGCTCAGAATGTCTGTCTTTTATAGTACGTTTGTGAAAACTGGGTTCTCGTTGTGGAAATGAACAGGAGGATTCAGGCTCTCCAACGTGAATGCTATGGACGAATTTTAAGAATGACCTATTTAGAACCTACAACCATATGTAAGACAAAAATAAACAAATCTAAGGGATACCAGGAACTTCTTCTGACAGTGGTAAAACGTCGCAAGCTGCCTGGATGGGGATACGTGGTGAGACATGATTCGATTGCAAAGACTAATTCAAGGAACACCGAAGGGCGGGGCGGTGTGGGGGTAGGTAGTCGAAGAAGAAATGAGGTTGGGGTTGTGGAGGGGGGCATAGAAGAAGCTGGAATGGTAACACCAAGAAATGTACAGGAGTAAATTATCAACAAGAGCAAGACAGAGAAAGATGGCCGGTTTTATGCTTCCATTGATGCACCTCCAGGACTTTAGTCGGTCGTTGTGTCAGGTTATAGCTCAAACATCACACGCCAGTTAATTAACAGATTATCGAAAGTGCTTTAAAAAATTGCTAGTCTATGTTCTAATTAGTTAGTTAATCGACCTATCATACTCATTGCACATTAGACAAGTCTATTAGCGCGCAGATCCCATCTTCAGTATATCCCCCAGCGTGTGACAACTGATGACACCAGTTCTGTGTTGATTTGTTTTCCTTCTTTGGCTACATGAATTGTGTGCATGTCTGCCGAAATTGTTGATATGAAATTCTTGTAGTCTTAGCCAAGGACGCCGATTCGCCTCAATCAGCTACTTATGTATGAATTACTCTGGTCTAATAGAGTATCACATACTGTATCCATTCTACTTTGTAAACGGTAAGTGGTTCAATTTATGAGCTCCCCTTTAAGCTCTGTTGCTACAGAGTTCGTTCTCGCCGCCTTTATTTCTCAGGTATTTTTTAAGGGGAGGGGGGGGGGAGTCCAGCTTGGCAAGGACCTGATCCCAAAAGCTTCCGACCCGCAGGCGAGTGTCTATCCGGTATTAAGGTAAATAGGGGTGAGACTGATGCTTTGTTTAACGAGACCACGTCCACGTACCTATCCCCCCACAGGTGCCAATTCTTATCAGGGTGACGTCACAACAACTGGCCTTCTGTAGTAGTTTAAAGAGCTCGTGCAGCATGACCGACAAGGAAGGGGTTCCAATCCCGTGCTGTAGAGGGAGATTAGAGAACCAGTTAAAGCTGACATGGTAGTTTTCACAGCACTAGGAAACTTGTGGAGGTCAAACAGAAATTAAAACTAAACTAAACTTCACATTTTTAATTCTAACGTCAAATCTGTACTGTTGTATTAGGCGGGAACATGGAAAACAACTAAGGCAATTACTAGCAAAATAAACTACAAACATTTATTAACTGGTGAATGTGCAGAAAAGAGAAATAGATAGAATCACTAATGTAGAGCTTTGGGACAGAACTAAGCAAGTTCCAGTGGACCAAGAGGTGAAGAAAGACGCTGGCATTGGATAGGACACAGATTAAGAAAACTGAGAACGATAAAACTAGAATGTCGTTGCACTGAAACACTTCTGGATTTTGGTCTTATTCCAGAACTGGATTTTACGTGCACACCTGTTTTACAGATCTGGTTTATATTTTGAATGTAGATGGTTAATTTCTCGTCTAATGCAGATACATTTCGACTTCGAAAGAAACACTCCTTTAGTACAGGAATTCCCCCCCCCCCCCCCTCCCCCCTACTCCCACCCCAACCCCTAGAAAAAAATCAGTTTCCGGAACTGACATTGGGAGAAAGACAATAAGTGTGATCGATTGAATGATAGATACATAAATAAAATAGAGGGATCTGAACGAGTGACAGGCAAACTTGACGAAAGAAACAGAGCTACTGATCGACAGAGAGGCGAACGAAAGGATAGACGGTCAAATAGATAGATTAGAAGGTAGACGGGTTGTTTTGTACATAGGTAGCCAGGAAAGACAGATAGGCAGTACAGTGTTCACAGGTAAGACAGACAGGCAGTACAGTGTAGGCAAGTATGAGATAATTTTCAACTACAAGCAGAGATTAATAGACAGACATACTTACACTAACACAAAACACAGGTCCGACTTTGAACCCCGAATATCTTTCGTTTGTAAATGAGTAGTCGAAACGACTGTTTCCGGTTGGTTGAAAATTAATTTCTTGTCCCAAATGCAAGGCCAACTTTTCCATTCTATTGGCCGTTCCACCGATACAAACAAACTGCAAACACAATTAATGAGTCAACGTTACGTCTTCGGTATTTCTGACTTCTTCTGTTCCAGTATATCATTATCTTAGAGGCGTAACAGTTATTGATTATTGATTATAAATCGACATGATAGCATACATAGTCGATTCGTCTCCCCGGGCAAATGTCTCAAAGTGTAGATGTTAACTGTTCTTCTTCTTCTTCTTTTTTTTCTTCTTCTTCTTCTTCTTCTTTTCTTCTTCTTCTTCTTCTTCTTCTTCTTCTCGTTCACCGACTGTAAACTCCGGCGGAAGGGTCTGGTTGTTCGTCCACTTCTGGACTGCAGTCCTGTTCCAGAACCTGAGTGTTGCGTGTGCATCCGTTTGACAGATCTGGATGCAGACTGTTGGCTCCTTGCCTCCCAGGCAGATGCACTCCGACTTCGAAGGAAGCTCCCAATTAGTCGACTCTTACGACATGCTTTTGGGTAGGCAGTGGGTCTGTTCTTGTTTTTTCCCATAGTAGGGCCCCGGAACCCACACGGGGAGTTTTTCTTCCTCTCATACGCCTGTCCTTGCACGACCCTCACGTAATTCCTTGTTCACACATTCGTACACATGTTATCTCATGTCTAACTTCGTGTCTTCTATCGGTATTCGTTCATAAATGGGGATCAGAATGCTCCCCCAGCCCCTCCTTGTGAGGGAGAGGGGGCTGCAGAAGCACTTGGGCATAGCTCATTCGGCTCAGTGTTGTGCGTCGTGAGCATAGAAGCCCTTAAGCCTCGGTGCCGTGTACACCGTTAATCTAGGGACTGTGCGGCTTTTCTGCCATCCGCCGGCTCGAACCCGTGACTGCACACGCATGGGTACTGTCTCCTGACGTTCAAGGCGCTATCAACTACGCTAGAGAGCCGGACGTCCCCTTTGTTAGGTACTTTTTTTTTTAGAAAATTATATGGAAGAAAAAAAGTTGGTAAGAAACAACAATTAGTTTATGTTAGCTTTACAAAATCGATCACAATAAACAAACAAAGGCGATTAGCCTTCATCAGCACATAATGGACAACACAGTACACATACACAAATAGGCTCTAACTATGAAGTGACTACATAGGACTCTAATGTATAGAATAAATTATACCCATCTAGTGTCCCTGGCGAAAAAACTTCGTTCAATGAATCGACGGTCAGCCTATATACCTCCAACGCGCAGGTAGGGGCAAAAAAAGGGACGAGTTGGACGCCAAGGTACGAGTGTTCCTGTAGCTATCAACCGGACAGTTAGGTTACATAACAGGTTTAGTGCTTCCTCCATGTTTATTTCAGTTAGCCCAATGAGCTGTGTCGCTAGTAACCTACTTATGTTCATAAATAGGAGCAGGGAGGCCGACACAACGAAAACGGGGGGTGGGGTGGGTTTGACAAGTTGGTTAAAGTAATAATAATGTGTTTACGGCAAACAAATGCTGTAATATATTTGAAAAAACAAAACATGTAAAAGAGAACAGTGAAAGAGATCAGTTCTTCAGGGGTCTAAGCTACAACAGAAGTGGTTGCAGTCGGTCTTACACAAACTGTAACTAAAAAGCTCAGAGGAGTGAAAAGCAAATCTGGAGCATAAATACAACTGAACATTTTCTATTGTCTTTATCAACAGACAGAACAACAAATGAAACAACCGACAAGGTCTACATAGAAGCGGAAATACGCAATAGCAGAAAGTATGGACAAAACGATCAATTACAAGAAGAAAGTCAAAAGAATCTGCCGATCTATTTGAACGAGCTTCGGCTTTGCCTGTTTGACTTTCTATTTATTGTTTGCTTTGTGTCTAGATATGTCTCTGAACGGCTATTGCCTGTGGTTTTATTTTTAATGCTTTAAGAAACGTTGAAATAACTGGTCAAATGAAAAACAAAATAAACATGACATTAAGTAAATAAACAACCCTTTTCCGCGCCTTTAGGTGTATTGGGCATAAAGGTTAGACATGTATTTTGTTGTCCAATTGGCCCTAGGTTGGTGATGTGGTCAGTATCACGCCTGCCGCCTTTACTTCATTGACTTTACCTGGTACCCAATAAAGGTTGGGTCGACCTGAGAGCCAGGGTAATTTTTTTTTTTAAATGGTCGATTCCTTCCGGATGTGATACCACGAACTTCAGATCAGCATGCATGTAACTATCAGTTGACTCACAGGATTCTAGAGACGTGATGTTCAATGGTCGCTCCAGGAAAAGAGTCTGAAGAATCCGATAAGTTCTGGCTGTGCATTTATCGATTGCTTCCATTTGTGTCCTGAGAAAAAACTATTTGAAGATGGAATGCAAAAGAAGATGATGTAGCTCTCCAGAGAAATGCCACATCACAAACCGATCTCCGACTGGTCTACATACACTACACTCTAGGTTCATGTGACCGCTAAGTTACTGGCGGGAAAAGGGTCTCTTCTTTCGTTTTTTTTTTTTTAACCAGAAACTTTTGAGCAGAATGTCAACGATTGCAATGAGAAAGTGTGAGTTGGGTAGCTTTCTAGGAACTTGACCACAACTGGTAAGATTTAACGTTACGCCTAGAACATGGGCGATAGCAGGAATATGGCACTTTTTAAAATCCCCTCAAACGAAGGACATCCTGGAGTTTCCGGAAGAGTGCAACATTCTAGTGTTGTAGGGGTTTGGATAGGGTTCGAAGTTAGTATCATTAGTCTCAGAGTTAAGGTAAGAGTTAGGGTTAGAGTTAAGGTTAGAGTTAGGTTTAGGGTTGGGGTTAGAGTTAAGGTTAGAGTTAGGGTTAGGGTTAGAGTTAAGGTTAGAGTTAGGTTTAGGGTTGGGGTTAGAGTTAAGGTTAGAGTTAGGTTTACGGTTGGGGTTAGAGTTAAGGTTAGAGTTAGGTTTAGGGTTGGGGTTAGAGTTAAGGTTAGAGTTAGGTTTAGGGTTGGGGTTAGAGTTAAGGTTAGAGTTAGGGTTAGGGTTAGAGTTAGAGTTAAGGTTAGAGTTAGGTTTAGGGTTAGGGTTAGAGTTAAGGTTAGAGTTAGGTTTAGGGTTGGGGTTAGTCTGTATCTCTAAAGCTATTGGGGTTAACAAATGTCCTAACTCTAATCCCACCCCCAAGAATATTGGACTTTCCTAGGAACTCCAAGATTTACTTTGTCTAGGGTGAATTTGAAATAAAGTACCCAAAACATGATTTATTCATTACAAAACACATTTACTTTTGTGGAAATCTTGTCAGTACTTATAGACTAGTGAGGAAGCTGTCGGGACTTGTGTCTACATGACTTACCTTGACATTGTGAAACTTCGATACGATCTCCGAATCATTGAGCGGGATATCCAGGTGAAAGAGGTAGTCAGAGTCCAAGTGGTCGAGGTGTTTGTTGGGGAGCATCACCGGGTGATGAGACGTGGAACTGGATAGAGGGAAGATAGAAGAACTAGAGGCCCTGTAAGCATTGTTTACTTTTTTTTATCCTTTTTATTTCTACGCTGCTCATTTTGTGGAAATGAGAACTATGGAACTCCTTCTTCTCCTCCTCCTTCTTTTCCTCTTCTTCTTCCTCTTCTTCTTCTTCTTCTTATTATTATTATTATTATTTTCCTTTTTCTTTTTCTTTTTCTTCTTCTTCTTCTTCTTCTTCTTTCTTCTTCTTTCTTCTCTTCTTCTTCGTCTTCTTCTTCTTCTCTCTTCTTCTTTCTTCTTCTTCTTCTTCTTCTTCTTCTTCTTCTTCTTCCTTCTTCTTCTTCTTATTAATTATTATTATTGATTATTATTATTATTATTATTATTTTTCTTTTTTCTTTTTTCTTTTTCTTCTTCTTCTTCTTCTCTCTTCTTCTCTCTTCTTCTTCTTCTTCTCTTCTTCTTCTTCTTCTTCTTCTTCTTCTTTCTTCTCTTCTTCTTCTTCTTCTTCTTCTCTTCTCCTCCTCCTTCTCCTCCTCCTCCTCCTTCCTTTCATCTATTAATGAAGCATAGACTCTCAGACAACACACCTCCAGTCATTAGATTACTTGTTCATGTTTGCACTCGCCGTAGGGTTCCGCGGCCCCACTGTGGGGAAAACAAGAATAGACCCACTGCCTCCCCATCAAGCATGTCGTAAGAGACGACTAATTAGGTCTTCCTTCGAAGTCGAAGTGCATCTGCCTGGGACGCAAGGAACCAACAATCTACAAACAGTCAAGTCAGATCTACTAAATGGATGTACACATAACACTTAGGTCTGGAACAAGACTAAAGTCTAGAAGTGGACAAACAACCAGAACTGTCCGCTGGAGTTTACAGCCAGTGATCGCGAAAAAGAAGTGTAGTAAGTCATTTTCTCCCCATTAATTCATGCCTGATAGATGACGTCAGTAATAAATGTAAGGCGAATGTTTTGACTGACTGAGATAACACGAGATTTATGTCTTGAGTTTCATGAGAGACATCTGAAAGTCAGGTTTTATGTGAAACATGATTGTTCACGTGAACCATGAAGGTTGACTGGCAGGATTCGTGTGAAATGCGAATTATCACGGGCCAGACACGACTTTCAACGGTGGGGAATTCGTGAGAATGAAATTATCCAGAATATTCGAGAACATGACAGATCAGAGGCTTATATAATAGCGGAAGAAAAGGTTTGTGAGGCAGTCTCGTTTAGGGGGCCAAGGGAATGTGTACTTCAGAAGATGAAGTCCGGAAGAATGTTTGTCGTCTGAATAGCGTGATTTTCCCAATGTCCTACCTGGCATAAAATAGCGGCTGACGGAAACGGTGGCCAGCTGTAAATGACTGTCGCCTGGGTGGATGGAATTACTGTGTTTCGCTAAGTTGTGTGAATTCTACGATGTTACAAAGTAATGCCTGACTGTTTAGATCATTGAATAAGTAATTGATGAGTGCTACGGTTGTGTATGAACATTTACTGACTGCAACATCAGCGAGTTAAAATAAACAGTACGTGTAACTTCTGAACGTCTGCCAGCGTCCATGTTTTCTCGTTCTTGTCAGTCGGTGAATGGAAAGATGCGGTGACTCATTCGAGCCAGCAATCAATAACAATGAAGATCACTGCAAGAAGGAGAAGCAGAAGATTTGGACAGATGTTACTGCTAAATCTTCAATGGAATACCATATTTAGCAGTCAACGCACAATTCCAATCAAGGGTGGAGACAATAACAGTTTTTGTTTTGTCGTTCCTCTGTGTGGTCAGTTCAGTCAGATCTTTTGACCACTTCTAGCTGCACTATTCGTTCCAATCGATAATAATCTGATCGTTAGGTTATGAGCTAAATTGATTTCATATGATTATCTTTTTGCTGATTTATGTGTCTCCCGCCCTCTCAATCACGGGTTGTAAATTCCGGGGGGAAAGTTCTGGTTTTTGTTCGCCTCTGGACTTCAGTCCTGTTCTAGAAAATGAGTTGCGTGCATATTCGTTCTACAGATCAAACTGATTTGTATGCAAACTGTTGGTTTCCTTGCCTATCAGGCGGATGCACTCCGACTTCGAATTAGTCTACTCTTTCGAAATGCTTTTTGGGGGAGGCAGTCGGTTTAATCTTGTTTTCCCCACATGTAACGGTTGCATGTTAAAATGACATCAGGTGATTATTTTACTGTCGAGTTATGTGTTAAATTGAGTTTATAATGATTTGAGTTGGTCTGGGAAAGTCAAAGTAGTGTAGAGGCTGGACGCTCGTCTGCCTGTACGAAGGTGTTGGGTTCTATTCCGCATCAGGTCGGATTTTATTTCATACCAGGTGGATCTAGCCAAAATTGGGTATCTGGTAAATGTCCTGGGGAGTCAAGGCGGCCGGCTGGATGTTAACCACATCACCAACAAAGTGTCGATGAGTTAGATAGATAGATATATACATGAGTCTAACAGAGGGTGACCAAAAGCTAATAACGGAACACCTTATTATTATTTTGAGCTAACCACGAAAGCTGTACATGTCATGTATAGACCTGTATATGTCATGTATAGACCTGTACATGTCATGTATAGACCTGTATATGTCATGTATAGACCTGTACATGTCATGTATAGACCTGTACATGTCATGTATAGACCTGTACATGTCATGTATAGACCTGTACATGTCATGTATAGACCTGTACATGTCATGTATATCTCTGTACATGTCATGTATAGACCTGTACATGTCATGTATATCTCTGTACATGTCATGTATAGACCTGTACATGTCATGTATATCTCTGTACATGTCATGTATAGATGTACATGTCTGTATTATGTCATGTATATATAGATCTGTATATGTCATGTATAGACCTGTATATGTCATGTATAGACCTGTATATGTCATGTATAGACCTGTATATGTCATGTATAGATCTGTATATGTCATGTATATCTCTGTATATGTCATGTATATCTCTGTATATGTCATGTATAGACCTGTATATGTCATGTATATCTCTGTATATGTCATGTATAGACCTGTATATGTCATGTATATCTCTGTACATGTCATGTATAGACCTGTACATGTCATGTATATCTCTGTACATGTCATGTATATCTCTGTACATGTCATGTATATCTCTGTACATGTCATGTATATCTCTGTACATGTCATGTATATCTCTGTATATGTCATGTATATCTCTGTATATGTCATGTATAGACCTGTATATGTCATGTATAGACCTGTATATGTCATGTATAGACCTGTATATGTCATGTATAGACCTGTATATGTCATGTATATCTCTGTATATGTCATGTATAGACCTGTATATGTCATGTATATCTCTGTATATGTCATGTATATATCTGTATATGTCATGTATATATCTGTATATGTCATGTATATATCTGTATATGTCGTGTATATATCTGTATATGTCATGTATATATCTGTATATGTCATGTATATCTCTGTATATGTCATGTATATATCTGTATATGTCATGTATATATCTGTATATGTCATGTATATATCTGTATATGTCATGTATATACCTGTATATGTTATGTATATCTCTGTATATGTCGTGTATATATCTGTATATGTCATGTATATATCTGTATATGTCATGTATATCTCTGTATATGTCATGTATATCTCTGTATATGTCATGTATATCTCTGTATATGTCATGTATATCTCTGTATATGTCATGTATATATCTGTATATGTCATGTATATCTCTGTATATGTCATGTATATATCTGTATATGTCATGTATATATCTGTATATGTCATGTATAGACCTGTATATGTCATGTATATCTCTGTATATGTCATGTATATCTTTGTACATGTCATGTATAGACCTGTATATGTCGTGTATATCTCTGTATATGTCGTGTATAGACCTGTATATGTCGTGTATATCTCTGTACATGTCATGTATAGACCTGTATATGTCGTGTATATCTCTGTATATGTCGTGTATATATCTGTATATGTCGTGTATATCTCTGTATATGTCATGTATATCTCTGTATATGTCGTGTATATATCTGTATATGTCGTGTATATATCTGTATATGTCGTGTATATATCTGTATACGTAGTGTATAGATCTGTATATGTAGTGTATAGATCTGTATATGTCTTGTATGGATCTGTATGTGTCGTGTATAGATTTGTATATGTTGTGTATATATCTGTATATGTCGTGTATATATCTGTATATGTCGTGTATATATCTGTATATGTCGTTTATATATATGTATATGTAGTGTATAGATCTGTATATGTAGTGTATAGATCTGTATAAGTCTTGTATAGATCTGTATTTTTCTTGTATAGATTTGTATATGTTGTGTATAGATCTGTATATGTCGTGTGTAGATCTGTATATGTCGTGTATAGATCTGTATATGTCGTGTATAGATCTGTACATGTATTGTATAGATCTATATATGTCGTGTATAGACCTGTGTATGTCGTGTATAGATCTGTTTATGTCTTGTATAGATCTGTAAATGTTATGTATGGATCTGTATATGTCGTGTATGAATCTGAATATGTCGTGTGTATATCTGTATGTGTCGGGTATAGATATGTATTTGTTGTGTGTAGATCTGTATATGTCGTGTGTAGATCTGTATATGACAGAGCCAGACTTGTGTCTCCTTCAAAAATGACTTAGGCTTCCAGGTCGCACAGCCTTTAAAGGGTACGTGCTCAAGTCGTGAGAAGTAAAAGTGACTGGGCTACGCTGACCACATCAAAACTGGAGAACCGACTGGTCAGTCAAAAATAGGTTTAGCCCTACATGCCCAGTAGGCCAGACGGCCAGGAAAATTGTCTTTTTCTTCTACTCTTTAAACATATACTTACGCCATGCTCTTTAAACAGTTACTTACGCCATGCTCTTTAAACAGATACTTACGCCATGCTCTTTAAACAGATACTTACGCCATGCTCTTTAAACAGATACTTACGCCATGCTCTTTAAACAGATACTTACGCCATGCTCTTTAAACAGATACTTACGCCATGTTCTGAAGACAAGCAGCAGTCTTCGTTAAATTGCAGACTTCTTAGAAAATTGTATGTCGGCCTTTACGATTTAAGCCGAGGAACTGACTTCACATTTGGAGACCTAGCCAATTAGTGGCCATTTTCTTTCTATAGAAAAAAAATAAAAACCTTATAATGAGAGAACGATTAACTGAGATAAATTCACTAATTCACTTTTCTTTGATGAACTAGGGAAGGACTCTACCTGTTTTAAAATTGAATCTGTTAAGGAATTGGAGAGGCACTTTGATATCCCACAGAAGATCAAGAACTCAAATAAGGTGACACATAAATATGTGAGTTGCAAAATTTTTACAAAGGAAAATTCAAATGATGTGCTTGAAATAAGAGTAGAAAGGCATTGTTCTTCAAGATGGAGCACGACATGGCACATGATGGTGTTGATTATGATATCCAGTGACTATGAAGTGTAAGCTGTCTAACTGGACAGCAGAGTATAACAGCTGTAGGGAAATGAGAACGCCGTGTACATTACCTAAGTAAATAATACATGTATACTGCTGTTAACAATTGGATGTTATATGAGTATGGGAAGAGAATGAATATAAGAAGATGTGTAAAAGTGAAAGTCATTTAGCTTGCGAAACCAAACTTGACAGTTCAAGTGACCGGAAAGCTAGCTCCCGGTTACAATAGACTTAACTGTAAGGAAGGGAGGGGCGGGGGCAGAGATATCAGATTGGTGATTATTGAATAGTAGGGATTATCATCACAGCACTCCTGAAAGATCCACACGATCCGCCTTACCCAGTTTAAGAACCTCTGACCTGGTACATCCGTTAGTCTATAGTTCTCACCATCTGTCTATAACTAACTATCCGTATCACCGGGCCACTATGACTTCAGTCTCACCATCTTTCCACAAATGATTCCCTTACCTAGCCTGCAGTAGCACGGGAGTATTTATAAAAGTGCGCACCAGCCCTGCACTCGCCACGCCATCAACACTCGTCCCTAGCACTAGAGTTCAATGGCACGAAAGTACTTGTGCACGCCAGCTCTGCACTGGCCAGCCTATCAACAATCTTCCATAGCACTAGAGTTCAATGACACGGGAGTGCTATACTAGTGCACAACAGCCCACCACCCTCCTTCTCCCCCGCAACCCTGACCAAGTACTAGAGCACCGGTCCTAGCCACTCGTGTTGGTGCAGTCAGGGCCTAGGCTTCCAGTAACCCATTTTCGAGGAGACTACGCCAAAACGTATCGTGATTTAGTCGGTAGGCACTATTAGAGAAGGCGTTGGTGCAATCAACACTTCTTGGCCAACATACTTAGGTTGAACGTGGTCAATTTTTTTGTTTTGTTTTCATAAATGGACTGAAATAAGTAATTTCTAATCAGTACTGATAAGTGAATTTCCCAGCTAGTTACCAGGACAGTGTCATGCCCTCCGTGACACAGCAGGAGAACCACTTGCTTGTCTGATAACAAAATAATCAGGCCGAGGACAAGACGAAATTCTGGGCCAATTATTCACATATTGTTAATTAAGGGGCGTTTCTCTGAAAAACTATTGTTGTGGAAGATTGACGTTGGATTGTTACAAAAGGAAGAAGTGTATCTAAACCTGATGAAGATAAAATATCCCGAAAAAAAATCTTGACGAGCTTCCTTGCGCAGCAGAACAGATACAAACCAATAATTTGACTCGGGTGGGGGGGGGGGGGGGTGGTCCCAGAGAGGGAGAGAGAGAGGGGGGGGTCGTCCCAGGTTTAGACACCCGTGAAGGCTTTGATTATTTTTTTCAAGTGGACTTCTAGTAAATCCCCCTGTTCTATCCCCCTGGTCTCTTGACCTGACGGAAGACCTGACGCCCGTGTGAATTGTTGATCACGTAAAAAAAAAAATCCCTTGGCAGTTGGAAATCGGGGGAAAAAAAAAGGAGCTAACGGCGCTGCCTGGGCAAAATTTACAGTTAAAAATCGACCCAAGTATTTCTAAATCCTGGCCGGTAAAACAGTTTGTGCACTGCGCTGAGATTCTTTGGACTCATGCATGCGTTTGAAGTAGAACGGAGCACTCATGGGTTACTACCCTTGTGCCAGGATGTTAGTCTGTTGTGTTAACCTAAACCTTACACCTAAACTTTGACCGGGTTGTCACTGGCCCTCGTCTGCTACTGATGGCAATACTGGAGAAGTAGTCGCAACCGCACGCTTGTAGAAATGATTTGCAATATGAGTAACCCTGACGATAGACAACTTGTTAGATAACATTTTGAGATCTGCAAGATCGTAATGATTTTTTGCATGCAGCCTTACAATCTCCATATTTTATGGATAAGCCTATACTATATCTTCACGTCCTTTTTAGGACGTAATTTTTTGTTATTTGAAGCCTCACTCTGGCTTTTGCCAGGGGCCGCAATATAGGCAGGCCATAGATATGGCCAATTGTCTGAACGCGGTTTCTGGGACCTCTCCACGATGATCCTCATCCACATGGTGACACTTTGTGTCATCGGGTGTTTATCGCTTGTGTGATGTCCTAGTGGGGTAGAAAGTCAGTCAGTCAGTCACAATCTCCATGACGTTAGGGAAATATATATATATATATATATATATATATATATATATATATATATATATATATATATATATATATATTACTAAAGAAGTGGGGGTTGTTTTTTTAACGATATATATTGTTATCATAAAATCGTCTTGGTAGACTTTAGAGATGGATTACAATTTGTTAAGCCCTAAATGTAATTAAATTAAATTGTCCAGTCAGCATTCTTGTAGCTCCACCTTCATGAAGTACTCCTTTCTCTGACCTTCTCATTTTCTACAATAAGGAAGACCGGTCAATGGTCACTGCATCCTCGTTGTTTTCCAACAACTCGTGTAATATTCCGTTCCAGATCTGGAGAATGAAGTGATAGGTCTGGGGTAGTAGTGGTGTGCCACGATCTCCAGTAGAAGGTGGCCACGTGGATCAGTTAGCCTAATAATCAGAACAAGTATGTTCTCATCCTGCCACTCCTCAGGTTTCTCTCCTATCTGGTCTATGTGGTCGTAACTCCAGCTTTGTGAGTGGCTGTTAAAGTCTCCACATTGAATCGTATTTTCTTCCACTGAGATTGTGTCTAATGCCTAAGGACGATCACCATCAGACAAGGTCTGAAGAAAAATTCTTCATTTATCTAATGATCAAAAACAAAGGTTGAATACATTCTTAAATCATTGACATTTTCGCACAGAAGTCTTTTTAAGAGTCGAAAACGAAGTATTCTAATGTCAAGGAATGACAGGCCATTACGCATCACCTCAACAGAGTCGGGACCTGTATTACCTGTGCTCGACAAAACTTTCAAACTTGGACTCGTCCGGAAAGGTATATAGTCCCTTATATCGATATATGCCTTGATCGGAGAGAATTATGATACCTACCTCTTCCAGTTGCTTTGACTTAGCGTCATTTTCAAATTTGCTACTGTGTGATAAATATTGCTGGAGTTATTTGACTATTTTTAGAAACCGGTTTACTCCTTGCTCATGTATACAAGGAACTTCTTCTTACCGACGCCTGACTTGAATTTTTGCGAGATTGTTTCTGCCGGCTTTCCTAGCGTTCAGATGTATGCATCGACGCCAGCAAATTTCACTTTCAGAAGGCGGCCTGTAGTGTCGAGAACTTTTCCTATGCTTGGGTAAGTTAATTATAGTTTACGAGTACCTTAAATGATGTCGGTTAAAGTAGTCACTGCTGTAGAGAGATCAGAATCGGCTATGGGATCACACATAGTTCGACCGTTCTTGATCTCTAGAGAAGCGGATTCGAACTTAGACCTTCTTCTGTACAGACTAGCCTATGCCCTAAATAACCCACACATACTGGTGAAAATAATGACCTTACAAGTGTGTACCATTTAAACTAACAACAGAAGTTTGTGCATACGAATGGGGACAGAGAATTAGGTCAGTACTTGGGCAGCCAGCGTTGCGTGCGTGTGTTTGACCCAGATCAATGAATGTGTAGGACTGGCTTGAGAGTCGTAGGGAATAGAGGTACTGACGGTAAATATTGGTGTCTGTGTGCAGATGGGAGGGGGGAGAGAGATAAATATATGTGTGAGAGTGTCTATCTATCTCCACCATATATATATCTGACTTTCCATCTCTTGCACTAAACAGACAGATGAATGATAGGAGACATTGTCTCCTGGTTTTGAGAGTGCACTCTGAGGAATGAAACAGAGGAGCAGAGGTGGAGTAGGCTGATGTGGGATGGTGACTGATGCTTATTCTGTCTTTCCTGTCAAGATGATACCCTCTTGGTGATGACTAATTCTGAGTTCTTTCCTGACAGGATGAAACCTTTGTGAAGAGCTGGCAGAAAAATCACAGTCCAACCAACACTCACCAACCAATTACCAACCAAACTATCAACCAACTAACCACCAGCTAACTCCTGTGAAGATTCCTGACATCATCACTATGGGGTGCCATATACCCCAAACAGTCTAACAGTGCAGGAGCTTGGTGTAGCTCAGAGACAGTGTTGTGACCTGCCTGGTGGGAGAGACTTGCTGAGTACCAGTACAGTTGCTGTGTCCTCTATGGTGAGGTACTCTTCCACTACCTGATCCATTTGAAGCAGAATTACCAGGGTCAGAGACAGTCTAATCATCAGGAGCTGAGGGAAGCATCAGCGATAGAAAGAGGATAAGTGCCAGTTTGATTCCATGTTGCTATATTCCCCACAGCTCCAATGTAGTCCGAGGATGAAAATATGTGCTACCTCCAGGACTCTCTGACTGTTTGGTTCTGTTGATTCTGGTCATTGTATTCAAGAAGCTATCCACTGAGATCTGGCATCTACTTCAATATTATATGTATATATATGGTGTATTGATTACATGCATTCATTTTCATGGCTTACTTAGGTGTCTCTATTTCACTTTTCTAAGTGTTTAGCATTGTTGTGTGTATTAATTATATATGTTAACAT